AAATTTATGTATATTAAACCACAATTGCACTTATTCCGCGACAGTTTTAATATATTATAGCAGGGGTCGACTGAGAAACATGTGTAATAAAAATTTCTGTGCGAATGGATTTATAAAAATAATGGTATACTGAGAAATATATGTACTGCTTAAAATATTTCCTCTCAATTTGTATTATTTTTAAACTATTTAATTATTAATAAATTTAAATCAGATTGTTAGCAATTTAACAGAAAATCGAATCGAATGGTTTTGCCGTACATACTTTGTGCTGGAATAATGGAGGCTTATTGAAATATTGTAATTATACATATAGATATTGTTTTATATTTATAATTTAATCAACGCATAAAATCTTCTTCACTAAATCTATATCTATATATCATATTCAGATTCCGCAAACTATTATAAAATAACACTAGACGTCAAGCTTAAAGGGAACGGGTTCGTTATAAAAAAAAACTAATAGGAAATCAATTTGAAAAATTTTAAACGACTTTTACTTATTATACTTATTATAAACTTATTTAGTTTTGTTAACTGCACGAAAATCAATTATTTATAATTATGTACAATTTTGTGCTTATATATATATACATATATATATAGATTATAAATAGTTTGATTCAAGCCGTACAAGTACTTGATTCGATTCCCAGCAATTATAGGGCACGAACAAATAAGATACGAGGAAGTATAATTTTGCATCTCACACCATCTATAGGTGTCTGTCTTCTTTATTTTCATATTTGAGATGTGTTAGTTAACTGGAATATGTTCAACTATTAAACGAGTGAATGATTTAAACTCAAATCTAATTTAAATTTAGATCTAAGAATGCTGTCATTTTTATTACTGACTCGGAACTAGGGGGTCTAAGCTATCTCAAATAACCTCTATTCTATGTTTCTTAGTATCGGCAGGCGAATATCTCGCTTAGCAAGTGGAAGTACTTTTCAGATATTAACTTAAATATTAAAACTTGCTATAAAAATGTAACTTTTGAAATAATAAAAATAATTATGTAGAATGATTAAATGGATTTTGTACAACACTCATCAAATATCACAAAAATGTAATAATAATTATCTATATCATATATATGCTAATACATACTAGAATTCCAAATATTTTGTAAAAACCACTATCAAAGAATATTTTCTATTATCCTATTTATTTCAAAGTAAATTTATTATTTTTATATCGATTTTTATTTATTTATAGTAAAATCAAAAGAAATTCGATACTATCTCTGTATAGCACTGAACCCACTGTGTGACTATACTATATAAAATTGTTGAACTTCATAAACTTATAAACCTATTATTACACTGATTATTTTTATTAAGAAAAGTATTTGAAATTTATTAATTATCCGGGACGGCGCGAACGCCATTCCCGACTATCAAAAATTACACGCACGAGTTATTCGCATTAGGAATAATCGCAAAGGTCAACTCAACCGTAGTGCAATGGCCAAGCCTCGCTTCGGGGGAACCGCCTTCTTGATCACGGTAACCCCTACGCCAGGTAAGTATGCTTTTTACCGCTCTATTCCAACTATTTGAACATCAGCAAGACTGAACTCAATGAGAATTAAAATCAAAATCATACCAAACAAAAATGTATCTACACATCTTCTATCTTTGTATATCTATTCCTTTTTTCAAGCATTCCGTAATTCCTTACTACGGGGGTTGGTTAATTGAAATCAGAACAAACATTGAGCGTATAGAGCATAATCTGCTGGTAAACAAGAATTAATCTTAAATAACTGGCGAGGAATATAAATGATGATTTTTTTTAAACTTATTAAAATATACGTAGTAGGTATCTTATTCCTTCTCAATTTATATACATTTACCTATTTATACTTTTTATTATTATAAAATTTATATTAAGTTTGTATAGACTGTATTAATATTTAAATTTAAATTTTAGAATTTATTAAACAAGAATGAAAAAGCAGAATTTTTTAAATGAATAAGAAATAAGCATTGTATAAAATATTATACTGTTGTTCCTGAGAATATTTAGATACAAACCCCTAATCGTTTAATAACATGAATAAATGAATGAAATGAAATTACGTTCAAAATAGCAAGTTATCGCATATTTGACTTAAATCGAATCATTCTATGACAAATAAACCTTAAATTTTGTGCAAAAATAATGGATTTATTTTTACTACACCTATTATATTGACCATAGAAAGCAAAATTTAAGAAAGATAGAACTATCTTTAAAGATCGTGGCCTAAGCATTTGATCTATAAATAGGAAATTATATAACATTATCTAGCTACAATAGCTTGAAATGCAAAAACGAACCAAATTACCAATTTCTGTAATACTGGACTACGGTAAGAGTTATCAACTGCAGCGAGATAGTCTAGTTTGATGCCGTATCGGGCATAAGTAGTTAAATCTATATTAAGTTCTTACCTTTGACTAAGCATATTAAAATGTTTTCAATGATACAATACATATATAAAAATATATTTAGGTGGTAACTTATACAAAAATATTGTGTACTTCTTTTGAAGATATACTTAATTTAATATTTTCAATCATATTGTTTAAAATCAAATATTACTATTAAATTCAAAGATGCATCATTATTAAATTATTATTGTTTAATTTCAGTTTAATCTTTAAGTTCGAAAACAATTGATTTTGATTTCAATTTCTTTAAGTTCATTTAATTTTTATTTAAAATTTAAATGTGTGTTGAAGTATTAAATTGATTGGAAGAAAATCTTATTAATACTCGTTAATCCAAATTTATAATTGCGCTTCATTTCTATTTCAATGTTTATTTTTGGCATTAGTTATCTTCATTAAGAACGTAAAGTACTGTACCTATACTTATTTTTTATGTTTTAATGTATTTTTCTATTCACCTAATTCCTTGTAAATCCTCTTCATCTTTAAATAAATAGCAATGTAATCTATTTAATTAAAAACTCCCACGTGTGCCCATAAAAATAGAATAATAACTTTTTATATTCTGGATAAATACAATTCATACTTAAAGTATAGGATTTGAAATAAAAAAAACATTACTGTTTCAGTGTCCCTGTAGAGCAATAAATGTGGGAACATTACTTACATCAAAACATATACCATATATACTTTTTGGAAAATTGTGATAACTTAAGTAACAGAATTTCTTTTATACAAAATATATAACTATCAATAAGATATGACAACAACCATTTTCATATTTTATTTTAATAGTTATAAATTAATATATTACAAATAAGAAATAGTCGTTTTGTCTAGATGACAACTTTAGGTGCTGTACTTTAAACTTATTTTATATACTAATTCTAAGCGTAAATAAGGAAATAATATTTTATTAAATTAATAAAAATATTTAAAGCAAATTCAGTGAGTTAAGAATAAGTTTTGTTATGATTACAAATTGTTTAAAAACCAATTTAATGAAAATTTACATCAACTGCCAACGACAAACTTTCCCTTCGTCCTATTTAGTGAGTAAAATATGTTAATTAAGTTATTAAATTTAGATTAAAACTTTAAAATGTCTACAGTCCCAAATGAATATATAATTTTGTCACGTTTACTTAATTTCAATAAAAAATTGTTACTTTGTAACTTTAAAAGTTTTTCAGTTGGTGAGAGTTTTACATAAATTACTTACTGTAAAAAGGAATTTAATTGAGTGGAAAAATTTAACTTATAGTTAAATTAGCAGTGTTTAATTTAAATTGAAATAAATTGAAAATATTAAATTTGTATAAAAAACAAATTCTAAATGTATGTCTCTTTAAGCTGAAACTGAAAGATTTAATTGAAATTGAACGGTGTGACAAAATTGTTTTACAAGATATTAGATCAATCTAAGTTGATGTTTTGATGACCTTAGAGTGAAATTATCTATCTAGCTACCTATATTACTAGCAAAAAGTTTGGTAAAAAAAACATGAAAATGTTAACAAATCTTTATTGCCTGATTCTAGTAGAGATTTTAATACAAATTAGCTTAAATAAACAAGTTAAAAAAGAAATGTGTAACAAAATGTGTGGTATTTCTTTAAGTAAAAGCAGGTCATTAATCAAAGCGTGATTTCTTATATAAAACCCTGTCAAGAGTAACGTTTTACGCATTTTAATGCTGCAATAATATATTTTAGTGTATTCACGTACATATGTATATTACCACCCATATTATAAAAAATTTGTTTGCATTTTGAAACATGACACAGGCATTTTTTTTTCAGTAAAACCAAAACAGACTGCAAAACGTTGAAAACAAAAAAAAAACTTTTTTTCAACATCTTCTAACTTTTAGAGAATGATATGCCCACGTTTAGCAGAAATTCGGAAATTTAATCTGGTATGACAGCTTCGCTAAAATTGATTATTTATGACAGCAGTGCTTCTGAAGCACCACTCAACGTTTATTTCATTACAGCGCTCATTTGAATTAACGTGGTTTAATTAAATTAAAGTGTTTTTCATTTATTAAATTTCAGGTTTAGTTGAAAATAGTGCAAAAATAGATTAAAGTAAAAAAAAGCTTTAGCAAATGTGAATTGCAGTAAATAATGAGGATAACAATGACTAATCATGGGAGTAAATGAAATTTATTTTAAAAAACTAATCTAACTATACCGAACACTCTTGTACCATGGCTTATATATTCATGGATAATAAGCATTTGAAAGGTGATTTGAAAAGTGTTTATAACTACACAAGAAAACAGCGACAACGTTATAACTACATATAGACAGCTATATTATAAATTTAAATAAAATAGGTGTGTCATTAAAATCGATGAAATCATTCACTAAGCTAAAACCTGAAACAGTGATCGAAAAAAACTAAGATGGATGGATGAAGTTGAGTAAGATACAGTTTGGTTACGAGTAAGATGTTATAGAATACAAGCTTTGTTATAAGTAGAGGCGAACTAAACACAACGGTTCGTCTGCCTAGAAACCAGATAAAGAATTACCATTGCTAATAGAGAATATATAAATTCTAACTACACATCTTTTTAAGTTGGAACTGAAAAATTTTATTTACACGGTGTGACAAAATAGTTTCAGAAGATACTAAGAAGATTCACCTTAGTTGATGTTTTGATAACCTTACAGTGAAATTATCTATTATAAACTTTACTAGCAAAAAGTTTGGTGAACAAAACCTATGAAAAAGTCTAGAAGTCTTTTTTGCCTGATTCTAGTAGAGATTTTAATACTAATTAACTTAAATAAACAAGTTAAAAAAGTTAGCGGTAAGGACTCAGTAAGCTATTATTTTCTTTAGAGCTTTCTCTCGATCGACAAAACTTACGCCATAATAATTGCTCATCATTATATACTACAAAAGCATGGAAGACATCACAGAAAAATAAAGCAGTACAGGGAGTTTTTAAGAGAAAAGTTCTTCATAATATTTTTGGTACTTCACCACATACAAATTCGTAAAATTTTTAATTAGCGATGACTACTATATTTTAACTAACCACGACATGTAGGAGTTTTGTCAAGATATTGACAACACTCAGGGAATTAACATCCAGCATCCTTACTCGCAGGGTCATGTCAAAAGTGAACATTTTATAAAACTTGAAATTTCCCGAGTTTAGAAGCTTGATTTGTACTTTAAATTTCATCAAATTGCACTATTATATTTTTAGGTTCTTTATTACTAATGATGGCTTAATTATTTCACTAGTAGGAGTATGCAATGCCAATTGGTATCATTTCTACATTTTTCTAAAAATAACCTTTTTGAAAATATCAACATTCGCCAATTTTTATACATCAATCGAAATGCTTTTTAAAATTCTGTAAATATACATTTTTATTCCATTTATATAATATTTTTAACAAACAAAAAATTTTTTAATATATATTTATATATAATAACCCAGGTTTCCATGATAACATTTCCAGCTGATGCTCATAAATATAATAAAAAAAATTAACAATTGTCAAAAATTAAACCCGAAATGGTAATGTAAATGTTTGACGTTTGGAAATACTTGCAAATAGTAGTAAATTAGTAAAATATTTTTTAATGGCAACACCTAGTCTATTTATATTTTGTTTTAATCAAAACGCGATAATAACAAAACAATAACGTTGATGTTAGAAAAGGCTACGGACGCGACGATGGGAGAGAATTTTGGGCAAGCGGATGTAAGTTGTTTTAGCATATTAATAAATTACATATATAAATTATTTGAATTTAGTTTGATCAAGATGAAATAGGTGGGGAACAGTTTGTTGCAACAAGCCACGGTCGTTAGCGACTTTTTGATAAAGACCTGCGCTGCATGATGTATGGATTTGGAGATGATAAAAATCCATGCACTGAAAGTGTAGATTTATTAGAAGATTTAGTAACTGAATTTATAACTGAAAAAACGCATCGTGCAATGGATTTCGGACGCACTGGAAGAGTACGGATAGAGGACATCATATTTTTATATCGTAAAGATTCGCGTAAATATGCTCGTGTCAAGGATCTTCTAACAATGAATGAAGAATTCAAGAAAACAA